TGTTTTTTTTCTCTCACTCGAACATTGCCAGCAATGATGTCCCCCGCCTTCCGAATTGGTTCTGTCTGATTCGTGTTTCAAAGGGCATAACTAACTACTGTCGAATTGATTTCGGTTTCACTATCATTTTATGAGCCTCTCATTTGTTTATTCGCGAGTCAGAACACTACGTCTCGGATATCCACGAATTCATTCAACCTTGAAATCGCTTTCGCCAACCGCCCGCCTTCTCAACTTTCCAGGCCCTCAAGAGTATATATATATGTACTCTTGTCCGTTTCCTATTTGTCTTCCATATTTCAATGCTCCCCCATCCACTCTTCCTGCTCCTATTCGCCCAAGCTACCCCGTCTCACTATCAACCCCATCCAGATGCAATCATAATTGTAGGAGAATATCTGTGAATAATTTACCGCAATTCCCTATTATAACCGGCTTTGTTTTCGCTTTGTTCATTATGCACGATAATGTCTACATTCGTGGGTTCAAGAAATAAACATACCACTAGATTTAGGTTCTATCTAATTCGTGGTCATTTTCCGTTCGTGTTTAACAGATGAATGATTGTTCATGCTATTGGTCGGTCGTGCAACTTGTTATGTGAGCTTTTGGTTCATGCTTTGGTACTGTTGAAATGCCAATATTCTCTTAGTTTAATAAGGGAGTCGAATAAATGAAGACCATTCAGGACCGCATTCAGACATACCTGAGATCCTGTTCGCCGAGCTTGGCAACTTGTTTGCAAATGTCTCATCACCAGCCGAGGTGAAGTGGAAGTGTTCTGCTTGTACCCGCTCGTTTATGTTCTTCCGCGCCGACTATTTCTGTCCCTTGTTCTCACTGTGTTCGACTCGGTTCGCCGTTGAACTGGTGCAAAGTGGCGAGGGTGGGAGGGGCTTGGACTTCCGTTCTGAGGTCACGGCGTGACCTTTTTTGTTGCATCATTTGATCCTTGAGTTGCAGTGTCGTGTATGTGTCGTGATCCGATTCGATGTGCCTGTTTATTGGGTTGATTGAAGAGAGTTCCTGAGATCCCTCTTGCCATTTCTGGAGTGCCCCAATTCTTATGGCCAACGGTTCGATGCCCCACTATACTCTAAGGATAGACATTCGTTATTATCCGTTGGAAATCGCTTGTTCTGTCGGAACCTAGTTGGTAGACAGCATATTGATCCGGAATAACTGGTGCCATCAGTTGTTGCATGGGCCGAGCATTGCGAATGCGACACGACGCCCAGCGGTTCAGTACTCTTTTGACGGC